TTCAGCCATTCAGATACAGAGTATCTGTGTGAATGTTTGCTTCATTTATTTATTTACTGAATCTTTAGACATACAACATAACTTTACCTGCCGTTATGTTTTTAAATAAAAATGTTCAGTTTTTAAATCATATTATCACTAAAATGTTCTATTACAAATTAGCGAATACAAATTAGCCATTATATTTCTTTAAAAAAAAAAAAAAGATTATGACATTACCACTCACTCTACATCTGTCCTCAAACCATAACATGCTTCATAGAGATTAAATATATATATTAAACTTTTGAAAATCATGTATCTTTTAAACTTTAACACAATGTGCTGACAAAAGGAAGAGATTAATAAAAAAATGTGCTTATAAGGTATCACAGATATAGCAATTGCTTTAAGGCCCTGTTCACACGAACACGGTTATTTATAAAACCGCAGCTTTTTCCACGCGGTTAGGCTGTTCGTCCACACGCAAACGCAGCACCAGGTCACTGAAACCGAACATTTTTGAAAACGCCTGCCAGGGTGAAGATTTTCAAAAACTCCGGTTGCAGTGTCATCGTGTAGACAGCGAAACCAGAGTTTTTGGCTTGTGACGTCGGCGCCTGTGCTGTTATCTCCGCCTACTGGAGACTTTTTCAGGCTTCTGATTGGCCAACATGGCTTCACGGTTGAGATTATATCGCCACCTGTTGGTTTGGCATGCTCTTGACAGTGCTTCATAGCATGCGTTTGCGTTTTCATGTGGACGGAGATTTTTTTTAAAACGGAAGAAGGAAAAACTCCATTTATAAAAATACCCGTGTACATGTGGACATGGCCTAAGAGTGCCTAAGAGAAACCTGGCTTACCCTAAAATTAAATAAAAATGTGACAATGCAATTTATTTAGGCTACAGCATGTATGAATACATATTGCCTGTCACTCTTAGTGCATTTCAGTATTTTAGCAAATAAAAGTGTAAATAATATCACACAGAACATACAGTTCTTTAAGCTTCTGGAAGCACTGGGAGTCTAAGAGAATAGAAGTGCTATTTGCATTTGTAAAACAATATATTCTTCAGTACATTAATTTTGCAATAAAGTGCTTTAAATCACTATATTTTTGACCCACCTGGAAAGCATTTACCTTGCATATTTCCATTTCCATACCAAATATTTTAAAAACACAATTCAGTCAATAATTTACAGTCATGTCCTTGCTTTTTTATCAGATATTCATGAAAATATTTAAAAAATTAGCTAAACTCAAAGTAAGCCTTCATCTTGAACATCCTCTTTTCATAATTCACCTGCTATTTTCTGTCACAACCACAACATGACAGTTTTGACATTCAAATTTTAATTTTTTTTTAAGATAAGTAATTTTTTGTAAATAATATATTGGTGTGAACTGACAACAAAATTAAATTCAGTTTTTGACCTAGTAAACAATTAATTTCAGCTTGAAACATAGCCCACTGTAGGCTTTTTTCCACATATGTTTCTATCAGCAACAAACCTGCAGTGTTAGCGTTATAGATCTCAAAGCAACAGGATTTGCTAGCACTAGCAGTCCCACTGATCTATGGCTACGTGGATCTGTAATGATGATCCAGGTTTTAGATCTATCACCTGAGGAATACTTTGAACTCTGACAGCAAACGGTTGCTATGGAGCGATCGTGTGAGAAAGAGATGCTAATATCTCTCTGCCCTGGAGGCTTTCTGCTACGTGTCCCATTGGAGGAAGGAATTTCCAGACGCTTACAATAAACACAAACACACACGACACCATTCCTGATCTTGTTATATATAAATGTCTCAACCAATCAATTCAATCTACCTCTGTCTCAGTCACTAAAATGAGATCGAAAAGGAATTCCACAGGGGAACCTTACTGTGTATATTCATATGAAATACAAACAGAAGGAAAATGATACACACCCACACTCAAACAGAAAACAACAGGCCTTATGTTTCTGAGAAGTACTCTTCCAAAAAGTGGTATGCAGGTGAAGCTGGTTATCTGGAGCAAGATAATATCTCATGCTACAATACTTCATTTTCCCAGTGAAAAGCGATCAGTTAAAGGAATATTTCAATTTCAATGCAAGTAAAGCTCAATGAACAGTATTTGTGGTATTTAATGGTGAATACCACAGATTTTTCCCCATGTTTCTTTAAAAAAAAAGAAAAAAATCAAGGTTGCAGTGAGGCACCTACAATGACAGTGAATGAGCCAATTTTTTAAGGAATTAAAAGCAGAAATGTAAAGTGTGTGAAGCTTGTAATTATATATATATATATATATATATATATATATATATTTGAGCTACAAAGTTGTTCCTGAGTATTTTAACATTTACGGATTGGCCCCATTCACTTCCATTTTGCTAAATTCACTCATTTTCATTTTTCGTTTAGTCACTCCAAGTGCGTCAATATTCTGAAATATTCCTTCAAATAAATAAGGACCAAAAACATAATATCTACTCATCTACTCTCTAAAAAATATTTTCTTAACATTAGTTTAAGAACTGAGTCACAATATTGTGATTGAAGATACATCCATAAAGAGGGCAGGTTATTTTTCTCAACATACCTCAGAAAAGCGCTGGACATCCTGGGTCAGGGTTCCCACTCGGCTCCAGTTGTAATAGTTGAGAAACTTCACCACAGCGGGGTTCACAGCATTGTCTGATGGGACGGTCCTGAAGAAATTTGGATACTTTTTCCTGTCTGCCAGGACAGGAGTTGTGGCTGCAAAAGAAAGCTGTAAAAGAAGAAGAGAGTACAGCTAAAAAAGGTCCTTTTAAGATAAATTAATTCAGTGGCCATTTTTGGTTATTTTCTATGTATTACATAGCTCTTAATCTGCTTGAATAAGACCAAAATCTCCAAAACTCTTAAAACTCTTGTCTTATTAAGTTTAATAAAGCACTATGGCGCAATTGGACTGAGATTGTGTTCACCTTCTACTTTTTGCTATTTGAGCAGCATGCTGGATCGAAGGCAAGTGGCCGCCCATAGCCAGTATGCCAGGACTCCAGGAGTCTAAAGCGTAGGTGTGAATGATTCAACATACTAACACATCTCTATAAAAAGACAGCTCTCACACCTTTGGTGAGTGCCTGTGTTGATTGGAGCCATGAACGTTTGCACTGATGGTCAAACTCAGCATATCAGCTTGAATATGTATGTGTGTATTAAGATGTATTATGGAACATTATAATCTGTGTTTGTTCTCCATAGTGGAGTGGTCAACAATAAGAATTTGGGCCAGTAAAAATATGATATTAAATATTATTATATAATAATACAGTGCATTTTATTTTTATTTTTAGAAACATATTTTAGCAGTATTAATAAGAACTATTTTTTTTATTGAACATTTAAACCTTAAAAACAAACAAACAATGGAATACACTGTACAGTAATACAAACACTGTACCAGTTTTGCCCAAAACGTTTACCTTGGTGATGTGCATAATTCGCAAAACAATGTTTAAAACATCACAGAAAACCAAATGTTTATGTTTGCAAGGCATAAAATCATGCACATGATCAGCAAATCATTGGACTGTAGGAACATGTGACCAACTGAATGGCCTAAAACTCTCTCACACTGCTTAATTGTTGAGTCCTGCTTCATCTAGCTCTCCTCTGCCTCAAGAAACATAAATGTTAATAAGATTTTTTTAAAACGCTTCTATTTACTGTTCAAATATTGCATGCTAAGCATGTTTATATCTTTTCAGGCTTTGAAAAAGGGACCGTTCGAAAGGGGCTTCACACTTTTTTGCTCAAAACATGCCCTCTTTAATGTTGTCAAACACCAGGCAGAGCATTTTAAGCCTCAGCTGGAGCGAAAAACAAGCCTGGAACATCAAGGTATGATTTTTATGCCAGTGCTCCCGTCAGTAGATTAACAAATGTTCCTCCGGTAATAATACATCCTGAGGGTTGTTAGTCTCTCAGAGATAAACATATGGAAATGCTTTGAGTTCAAATAGCAAAAGCCGTCTTATACTTGTTAAAGGAGCACACTCTTTGCTTACAGTCATAAAATGTCTGTCGGAATTTGCAGGTGATTTAAGCAGCAATTTACATATAGTACTAACAGAGTAAACTGCATTTCCAGAGCACAAGGAAGAGCCACAATATAAAAATGTGACAAGTTCTATTCAGCCCTGGTCTACATCAGGGTTTCCCCCCTAAATTAACTCGGAATAGGACCTTCCTTTGCTCAGGATTGGATCAACTAAATTACTTTTCCTGTGAATAGAATTGCGGGTGAAAATGGAATTGATTTTGCTCTGTAGTGTGCAGTGGCCGTGACCCCTGACCTCTCATCTTGTCTCATTTGTGGCCCCTCTGGTGAATGAAGTAGTGACGTAATCATATAAACACAGTGCTAAGGGGAACATGGTCTGAATACAGCTTGTTAGGTCGACTTTCTGATACAAGGAGGAGATTCAGGCACCATCCCAAAACCTAGCCAAGTCAAATTTATTTGTATATTTACACATTGTTTCAAAGCAGCTTTACAGAAAATCATGATGTTAGAGTTTATAATATCTTAACTCTGTATCTTCATGCTTTATAGTTGCATTAGCAGATTAGAGCTGGGTGAAAATCAAGCAGTTGAGATATGGTATACAGAATATATCACCCTTGGTAATTATACAGTATGCATGTATGCACATATAGTTTGACATACTTCTATCTATCCAACTTTATATATATATTTGAGCTACAAAGTTGTTCCTGAGTATTTTAACATTTACGGATTGGCCCCATTCACTTCCATTTTGCTAAATTCACTCATTTTCATTTTTCGTTTAGTCACTCCAAGTGCGTCAATATTCTGAAATATTCCTTCAAATAAATAAGGACCAAAAACATAATATCTACTCATCTACTCTCTAAAAAATATTTTCTTAACATTAGTTTAAGAACTGAGTCACAATATTGTGATTGAAGATACATCCATAAAGAGGGCAGGTTATTTTTCTCAACATACCTCAGAAAAGCGCTGGACATCCTGGGTCAGGGTTCCCACTCGGCTCCAGTTGTAATAGTTGAGAAACTTCACCACAGCGGGGTTCACAGCATTGTCTGATGGGACGGTCCTGAAGAAATTTGGATACTTTTTCCTGTCTGCCAGGACAGGAGTTGTGGCTGCAAAAGAAAGCTGTAAAAGAAGAAGAGAGTACAGCTAAAAAAGGTCCTTTTAAGATAAATTAATTCAGTGGCCATTTTTGGTTATTTTCTATGTATTACATAGCTCTTAATCTGCTTGAATAAGACCAAAATCTCCAAAACTCTTAAAACTCTTGTCTTATTAAGTTTAATAAAGCACTATGGCGCAATTGGACTGAGATTGTGTTCACCTTCTACTTTTTGCTATTTGAGCAGCATGCTGGATCGAAGGCAAGTGGCCACCCATAGCCAGTATGCCAGGACTCCAGGAACCTACAGTGTAGGTGTGAACGAATCAACATACAAACACGTCTCTATAAAAAGAGCTCTCACACCGTTGGTGAGTACCAGTGGTGACTGGAGCCATGAATGTTTGCACTGATGGTCAACCTCAGCATATCAGCTTGTAGATGTATGTGTGCATTAAGATGCATTATAGAACATTAAAATTTGTGTTTGTTCTCCATAGTGGTCAACAATAAGATCTGTATTTGCCCTGCCAATGTATTTACCAGACACAACACAAAAATATAATATTAAACATTATTATATAATATTACTGTGCATTTTATTTTTAGAAAGATATTTGCAATATTTTAGCAGCATTAATAAGAATCAGAAAAAATATAATAATTTTTGATTAAAAATTTAAACCTTTATATATATATATATATAAAACAATGCAATACTCTGTACACCAATACAAACACTGTACCAATTTTGCCAAAACCTTTTTCATTGGTGATGTGCATAATTCACAAGACAATGTTTAAAACATCACAAAAACCAAATGTTTACATTTGCAAGGCATAAAATCATGTACATGATCAGCAAATCATTGGGCTGTAAGAACATTTGATCAAGTGAATGGCCTGAAACTCTTTTACACTTCTTAATTGTTGAGTCCTGCTTCATCTAACTCTCCTCTGCCTCAAGAAACATAAATGTTAATAGGATCCTTTTAAAAACGCCTCTATGTACTGTTCAAATATTGCATGCTAAGCATGTTTATATCTTTTCAGGCTTTCAAAAAGAGACCGTTTAAAAGAGGATTCACACTTTTGAAGACTTTTTTGCTCAAAACATGCCATCTTTAATGTTGTCAAACACCAGGCAGAGCATTTTAAGCCTCAGCTAGAGTGAAAAACAAGCCTGGAACATCATGGTATGATTTTTATGCCAGTGCTTCTGTCAGTAGATTAACAAATGTTCCTCCGGTTATAATACATCCTGAGGGTTGTTAGTCTCTCAAGAGATAAACATATGGAAATGCTTTGAGTTCAAATAGAAAATACTTATACTTGTTAGCACACTCTTTGCTTACAGTCATAAAATGTCTGTCGGCTACGTGGCTGCACATTCAATTCGATTAAATTTTTATTGCAAGGCAAAAAAATCTCAACTAAATAGTGAATGGAAATGTAATCTTTCAAAAGTTGTATGTTGATGTTTTTGTGAAAATTTATATGGATGGCTTGTTGAATGTGCAGGTGATTTAAGCAGCAGTTTACATATAGTACTAACAGAGTAAACTGCATTGCCAGAGCACAAGGAAGCACCTCAATATAAAAATGTGACAAGTTCTATTCAGCCCTGGTCTACATCAGGGTTTCCCCCCTAAATTAACTCGGAATAGGACCTTCCTTTGCTCAGGATTGGATCAACTAAATTACTTTTCCTGTGAATAGAATTGCGGGTGAAAATGGAATTGATTTTGCTCTGTAGTGTGCAGTGGCCGTGACCCCTGACCTCTCATCTCGTCTCATTTGAGGTCCCTCTGGTGAATAAAGTGGTGACGTAATCACAAACACAGAGCTGTATGGAACATGGTCTGAATCCAGCCTGTTAGGACTACTTTCAAGAAGATTCAGGCCTAGTGGCATAGTGTGTGACATCAAAGTACAGCAAGAGCGATTAGACAGCATTTTTTTAATTTTTGTTTTGATGTTAAATAAGTCTTGCTGTTAAAGCAGTGTTGCTGATAGGTTTTTAACATTCTAAAAGCTCTTTATTCCAAAGATACTACAAGCTAGTCAGTGTATTCAGTAGGTGTAATGTATTCTAAGTTGCTTCAGAAGTATTGCAAGTATTACGTACAACAATAAAAAATATGTGCATTGACATAAAAAAGGAAATTGACTTTTGGTACTTAAGTACTTTTAAAAGCAAGTACTTCTGTACTTTTACTTAAGTAAAAATCTGTCTTTACAACTTTTACTTGTAATGGAGTAATATTTGACCAGCAGTATCTGTACTTTCACTCAAGTAACGGAGTTGAGTACTTTGTCCGCCTCTGCCTGTTAGCAACATTTAGACCTGTGAATATTTAGATGAGGGAACAGACAGATTTGGGTAGGATTTATTTACACTGTTATATTATATGGGAAATGTGTGAACTAAAGCAATAGCTGACAGCAGACATCAGAGCTGACATAATCACACCACCTGCTCTGTGTTTCAAGAGGAAGGAGGGTGAGCAGAACATCCATTTTTCCTTCTAATATGGGCATGAGCAAATGAAAGGGGATTGCGAGGGATTGAAGTAATCTAATATAATGATTTTGTGTCCTCTAGGAGAGTTATTGATGTTAATCAACGTAGGGTTAATTGCAGTGCTGAAAAGATAAGACATTACGATTCCTGATAATGACACAGATTAGTAGTCTGTGATTCTCTTTGAAGCCAAGTGTGCATTAACTCACAGACAGATACTATCTAGATTGGTCTGGTTTGGCCTTTTCAGACCTGCCTCAAAAAAGTCATTTCCTCACTGACAATCTTGAAAGAAGAAGCCAATCTCAGAAGAGTGATGTCACACCTGTTGAACGTGTCAAAGCTAGTACATTCAATTAAAAAGACTTGAGATGTTCACCTTAAAATTACAATGCTATCATCATTGAGTTACTCTCATGTTGTTTCTTTCCTGTGTGGAACACAAAACATAATTTGAAAAATGCCTGAATGGTTATTTTTTTTAAAGAAAAATGACTTTATTTACATGGACAAAACAGTCATTGTATGGAAAACAACTTGGTCATTCTGCCAAATAACTTTTGTATTCCACAGAATAGAAATATATTGTGTTAAATGGCCAAATTCTTATTCATCCCTAAAGTATGACATACTGGGTGAATACATCTACATTGTGCCACTTTTGACACAATGTCAAAAAGTCAATCAATTCAATATTAGGAAATCACTAGTTTAAAGTCTACAGTCAGTAAAATTTTTAAAATAAATAAATACTTGTATTCAGCAAGGATACATTAAATTGAGGTAGAGATGCACCGATACGGTATTTCCCTGCCGAAACGGATTTATTATTCAGAATGATATCTGCCGATGCCAATACCAATAGTTTGCTTTTCTTAAGGAAAAAAATCTCTCCTAACCGATGCTGTTAACTACGCAGGGAACCCTATCATTTGGCACATTACTATAATATTAAAGGTTAAAATTAACAACAGAGCTATTATATTCAACTGCTATTTATTTTCAGATATTATAATTACGCTCAAATAAAAATTTAAATGTCTGTTTACAACTCATTTGCACAGTCTTCATAAATACCTGTCTTCATGCTGGGTTGCCAGGTTTTCACAACAAAACCCGCCCAATTGCTACTCAAAACTAGCCCAATCGCGTTCCGGAGGGTAAAATATACATAAAATACACGTTTTGGCAGGGATGCCCTGGTAAAATTTGCATTCCAGGGGCTAAATATCACATTATTGGGGTCGCTTCAACCCACAGACATGAAAAACAACCCACGGCAACAGTGTTAAAGTAGCCCAATTCCGCGGGCAACATTGGCAACGTTGGCAACATTGTCTTCATGCCATATTTATTCAAACATACATATATAATTATGAGTAAAAAAGCTCCTCTTTGGTGTTGTTTTATAGCTTACTAATGAACTGTTAACAGTGGATAAATTTGCCAAGGTAAATGCCACGTTAAATGACATACTGTTCACAAACTGTTTTATTTGCGTCTTTCCGCGGTTGAAACACTGATTGAAAGATTACATTAGACATGATACATTTTGGTAAGCTATACTGTAGCTTTCAACATACCTTCTGATGTTCATTCATGTTTATTTTGAGCTATAACATATTGGTGAGCACAAAAGACTTTTGAACACAAAAACATTACAAAACCTTACCGACCACAAACTTATGAATTTGAATGTGCTGGTTTTTAAACAAAAACACCAACCCTCATAAATGAGAGATCAATCACTTCAATATCTAACAAACCTAACAGGCAATTTGTACTTATGCAGAATATTAGCAAATTTACAGCCTTTATCAGTGTAATCCTGCTTTCACATCAATGGCCAACTCCAAAATAAGAGTCATGCCACGTCACCCCATCACTCATCTCAGCTCAATGAAGTGCTTATTGTTCAAAACACACAGATTAGTGCTGCCAATTAAGGATTTTTATCATGTTAGAGCCACTAAATCCAAATGCACCTACGGGACTCACTGAGCATTAAGGGGTCTCTTGGAGGTTGCTCTAATCTTTGTTTAACAGAGACTAGCCTACATGCTGAATGCTCCATCCTCACAAGGGAAAAGTCAGAGCATAATGCACTCAGATACAACCATACAGCTGTCATTCTATTTTGCTTTTAAAATCTCTTTTAGGATAATAATTGAACCTAAAATCTTCATGTTCAAAAGAAACTGATGTGTCACAGAAAAACATTGACACCAGATTACATAGTTCCAGTTTTCACTGGCCAAACCTTGACCCATATAAGCAAAAATAATGACTGTTTCCTGACAGGTTTTATCAGCAATCAGCTATTGGCCAGACAAATAAAACAGTCCCACCCCCAAACTCACGCCATTGGTTAAACCAATTCTATTTTGTTGTGCTAGATGAGCCGCTCAAATACACAGAGAAATGTTTTGATAGCAACCCAAGTGGCTGCTTTTCAATATTCTAATTGATGCTTCCTTATTTTTCGCTCCTTCGTCCTTC